CAAGCATTAGAACAGGCTGCCCAGGGAGGTGGTGGAGTCAGCATCACTGGAAGTGTTCAAAAAATGTGTAGATGGGGCACTTCGGGACATGGTTTAGTGGGCATGGTGGTGTTGGGTTGGTGGTTGGACTTGATGACCTTAAAGGTCTTTTCCAACCTTAATTATTCTGTGATTCTCTGATTCTCTCTCATTTTCTTAAAAAAATCAATACCACTGCAAAACCTCTGTTGAAGATCTGAAGATAACCTGTTCATGTTCTAGGAATTTCCTCAAACTTATGTTCCATTAGTTTATTTTTTTTTAATTAGTTGGTTTTTTTTTTCATGTGAAGCTAAAGTTTTCAGCTAGGTACAGTTGAATTTTTGTGTTTAAATTACTCTGTGGAACTACAGAGATGCAGCACTGCTGTCCTGCACTGACAGTGTGCTGCCCTCAGCTGTTTCAGACAGGCCAAATGGCATGGTTTGATGCTTCTATAGGTTGAGAAATTCTTTGCCCAGTTACTACTAATAACTGGCTAGTTGGTATGTGAGAGGACTAGCCTGTTATTGAATGTCAATATTTTGGGACTCACAAAATGAAATCAATGATGTGCCACTGCTCCTTTGAACAAGATGTGTAATGTGATGTTTGTGAGCATAGCTAAGGGGAATCCTGATGGCAACAGGGCAGGATATCAGCTTGGTTTTCTCCTTCCATGCACATTAGCAAATGCAGTAGGGTCTTCTGTCAGGGACTTTCTGTGGAATGCCTGAATCTCAAGACTGGAACCTGGAATAAAACCCTCCTTTACCATGAGATCATGAAGCAGCCTCCTGCAAATCCATTGCATGTACTTTTTTCTTTGCTTGTATGTAATACTTCCAGTTCATCAAAGTTTTTTTATCATACTTAAAAATGAGAACTGAATGTTAGAGATAATGTTACTACCCATCAGGTGCATCAGAGCTTCATCTTCAGCTATTTGCTAATTTAATCTCTAGCTGATTGAATCTTCTTCATCTCTGATGTGTTTATTGCCTTGAATTCTTTTCCAGTCATGGTCTTTGTAATATATGTGTATTCAATGATTATGCAAACATATTTGCTTTTATAACTCCGTAATTTTAAATTGTTTCTGCCGTGGGGGTGGGAGAAGTTGCTTCCTTTCACATCCCTTTGTGGCTTCCAAGTATGTAATGAATTACTGCTTTCTAAATTTAAAATAACAAACTTAAGCAAATTTCTGACTTTTATTCCCATAAAATGGACGTGAGATAGATGTCTTCATTTTATAATTGCCAAAGCAATTTTTCCTAGTTGATTTTTTTTTCCTAATGAGGAGTTAGCCATTTTTTAGATGTATTTAGTTTTGTGAGTTCTTACTTCCTATGGCAACAATGTGATACAGCACTTTATAATTGGTCATAAAAGAATTTGCCTGCTGACATCACCAAATTGATGTATTAATCTAAAAGGTTAAAGGATATATCTTAATATCTGCTGCAGGGTGGAACTTCCTGCCCATACATCTGAAAGCTCTGAAGACTTAGTTAAAATATCTGAGAAGAATACTACTGAGAAGGATGAGGAAATGGTTGTTGAAAAGGAGAGCCAGTCTGTATCAGAAGTGGAGCTACATGTATCACCCCCTGAGAAACAGAGTGAGAAGGAGGTGAGCTGGATGTGATAGTGGTAGCAGATAAGTTTGGAATACAAATATAGTTTATGTTAAATATGATCCATGCTGCCTTGATCCATGTGACTGTCAACTTTTTGATTTTCATACTGATGCTTCCTTGAAAAGTATATGTGAGATGCTAAGGTTAGTATAGAATTAGTTTCAGGGCATACTCCATTATACTTAGTTTGAACAATAGAGTTCACAGGACCTTCAGTAAGGTGAATTTCTTGCTTGTCTACCAACCTAATTTTCTTAACTGATCTCTTCAACTCACATATTCCAGAGAACTGCAGTGAGATCAAGGACTGATCCAGTATCTCTAATTTAAAAAAAAAAATTTTTCTTTGAAGAAGCCAATAGCTGGTATGCTTCAGTGGCTACTGTTGGCTCTCTGCTTCTCCACTTAAAGTTTGCCTGCTTTAATGTTTAAATACAACTTTTATCTACAATTTGTTAACAGCTTGAATTTAAGTCTGTGAGTACCCCCTTTGTGCCTAGCAATGCATCCAGGGTTTTATGTTCTTACTGATCAGTGAGAAAGTGGATCTTAAACTATGTTGGGTTCAAGGAGTGACTGCAGCACGTATGCTTATGAGATGCATAATAACTGCTTGGCTTGGCACCAAACAATGTAAGCTATGGTCAAAAATGTAGTGCAGATGACAACACCAAGCTAATATGCTGGTTAAGCTAGCTACTCTGCACTAAGCTCTGCCTTCTTAGTACATGTTTCTGGGTACCCAAGCTATCTGCTTCTCACATTAATCTGTGAATTTAGATCACAGATACACCCACTAGTGTTGAGGAACAATGGCTGGAAATTCTTGACTGAAGTCTAAATCTTGACTTAGAAATGTAATGTTTTAGGAAACTCCATCAAAACCTCTTAACGGTGAGGTAACAGAAGAAACTGGTAAGGCCTCACTTACTGCTGAAGAGGAAACGGCCAATGAAGTTCAAAGTGGTGAATCAAAATTGCAGTCTGAGAGTCAAGGAGAAGAGCCTTTAACACTGTTTGTTCCGTTAATCATTGAGTCTCCAGAAAAACCTTCAGAAGACACTGTATCAGAGAAGGTGAGAGAATTGAAACAAAATGTGAAGTCATCTTTTCTTCAGATTATACATATCTTGCTGTCTTATCTATCAGATAAAAAGTAGTCCCTACCATCATATGAAATTCTTGGAAGCAGCCATTATTAAGCCAGATGATGTAAATCCATAAACAGAGTATACTGATGTTTCTGTTTTAATATGCAGAAGTGGGGCATATATGCGTGTGAAACCAAAAAGAAAGATGATACATTGCTCCAGCTTGCTTGGACAGTAACGAAACAGCTCTTTCTCACTAAAATATGGATATGAGTTGGATATGAGTGAAAAGCTGTCTAGTAATTCTGTCCTGATGAAGTGTACAAGCAATTAATTACTGGTAAAATACCTTTCCAGAACACAAATTTTACTGCTTTTTATTTAAATAGTGCAAGAGCAGATTATTATATGTTAGCAAAATGTTAATTGTATATGTCTAAAATAAAAAACATTTTTTTTTCCCTGGGATTAATTTCAGAGTGTTTTTACTGTACCTGAATAATCCTTTGAATAATTTGAATTTGAAAATAGGAGAGCAACTCTTGGTATTAAACGCAGTTCACAGAATAGTCTTGTGCAAAGAGGAGGAAGGGACTAGCTTGTTGATTGTACATGTAGTATTAACAACTGCTGAATGCCAAAATACCCTCCAGTGTTGCTAGCTAGGGGCAGTAGTTGCTCAGCCTCTTGTATCTTCAATTAATTGTCTGTTTTGGTTGTTTTGGCACCCTTCCTGTCTGCTCCCCTCCCTTTCCTGCCCCTGCAGGTTTTAAATGCAAATGATTCAGAAGTGCTGACTGAAGAAAATACATCAGTAGAGAAAGAGGGCACTGAAGAACAGCAAGAATTTGAAAAGACCACCACTGAAAATGCAGCTGCTTCGTCATCAAAGGAAGAGCCCTCTGATAATGGCCAGCCCATCTCTATGGTAACCGAAGCACCAGAAGAATCAATTTCTGAAAACGTGTCACCCAAAACAGCTTCCTCATTGGAAGATCAAAATGAGGAAGCAGGGCACAACTCAGCAGAGGCCCCTGTTGCCCTGAGTCAGAGCTCTTTGATAGCAGTTGAACTTGAGGATGTTTCTTTTCAGCAGCTTTCCAGACAGAAGAACCAGTTGGAAGAGCACTTAGAAGAGTCTGAGCAAATGGATCAATACACGCAGACAACAGCTGCTGATAGCAGCTCTGAGGAAGCAGAAATTGAGGTACCTGTTGTAGATCGGAGAACCTTGCGGAGGAAGGCAAAAGGCTACAAAAGTCAACCCAAGAAAAAAGGAAAGCCAACTTAAAAATGAAATATTGATTGTTAATTCACCTATTTATAAGAAAGTTATTTTGTATAAAACACAAGGGTGTAACTAAACTGTATGAGTCACACATATTTAAAATTCTGGGTTGCACTTCCTCTTGGGATTTGTCACCTTTCCTCAAGTTTTCTTGAATTTGTAACAACTAGACATCACGCTTCACCAGAATATAACAGTAAAACAGCCACTCTCCTAATTTTATAAAAGGTACATGCTAAATAAACACAATTGTGCTAGCAAAGGGAACCGTTTGTTTATTTGAGGTGGCAGTTGCAGAATCAAAATGCAGTGTGAAATCCTGGCCCTATCAAGGTCCCTTAACTTTCCGGAGACTTCCATGAGGCCAGACATCACTCTAGCTTTTTTTTTTTTAATAACTTTGTGTTCTCTACTGTGGAGAGAAGCAGAACAAGAAAAATCCTTTCTCCCCTCTTGTCCCTCCCCATAAATTTTCCCAGATGAGATGAAAAGAACATAAGCTTCTGTAATTCTAGGTCTCAAAATACACAAGAAGGTATAACTCAGCAGATCAAAACAACTTAAACAGCATCTGTTTTTCCTGATAATCCCTTGATACAAATGAGTCACCAGAAACTGTTGTCCCATTAATGGGGACCAGTACCCGGTGTGCAATGGGCTAATCTTGCATACAGAGCCCAGATACTTACTTATTTTATGTCTGCACAAAAGTGGGCACTGGGTGGTAATTCCACAAAGCTAGCACCCCACACAAAGGAACTACAACGTATTTATCCTGTTACATGATTAGCAAAACCAATGGAAAACCCGCCCAAATTTACATTCATTGGTTAGTGATTACCACGCCGCTTGCTATTGGTTGGTTATATTGAAATGAGCTTCCCTTGCCATGTAAATCAGCACATGTGCTTTTGGCAGGTATATGTGGGGGCAATTTGCACAGACCCTCAGTCGAGTCGGTGGTCGTGATCCCCCCCTGCCGTTACTGTGGATTTTGCTGACTTCATGCCAGTGGCATTCTTCTGTCCTTGTTGCCTTCCTTTTAACAAGATGTCTCCTTGAAGTCCTTCTGGAGGTAGGTGATTAGTAAGGCACACCAAGTAATCAGACCTAAATTGAACCGTTTCACCATTATCTGGGCATTAACCCAAACATGGTTGTAGTCAGTCTCCATTTCCCCGCTTTGAGACTATAGAAGAGTAACTTCATTGTAGTTTCTATTATATTAGCCTCATCTTCTCCTTACTCTGTCTCCCTACTGTAGAACAACATTTCCAAAACCACTGTATTATTACATAGATACATACAAAAGTTAATAAGGTGATCATTATAATGCCCAGTAACTTCTTTACCCATAGAGTTAAATCAGGGAACCCAGAAGTTACCCATTTAAACGTTTCTTCACATCCATGAGATGTGTCATCCCTTTGTATCTGTTTCCAGATTTCTTCTAGGTCTGTAGAGATTCTGCCACTTTGATCCACATACATCCAGCAACTACTATTTAAAATTGTATATATCCTTCCCGGGGAAGTTAGCATCGTATCAAGAGCCATTCTATATTGCAAAGTGATTTTAGTTAATTCAGATACTACTTTTAGGGCCTATATAGCATCATAGGTCTCACTTCAGAGTTTCTGAATTGTGGCTGAAATATTTATTATAGCTTTTTCTAATTCAGTAACTGCTAACCAGGGAATAAACCATCTAGCGAAGGTGTAAAATCCTGTGGGTCTATCAATCAATGGTTTATTTCCATTTCTTTTATTCCTTCAGAGGTAGGTTCTTACCCTACTTGAGACTCTAGTTTCTTGATGATTGTGGTATTTGGAACTACAGCTCCTAAAACACAAGTTCCAGACCAGTTTGGTGGCAGGGCCTGATGGGCCTGTCCCCACTGAATGGTTACCTCTGGGATACATCATTAGAGAGCTTGCATAAATTTTGTAGAATTTGTAATTTCTGTTTCCCATTCCTGATTTTCAGAGTTGTTGACACTGTGAGTTATATTTTTCCACAGATTACTCCATGATGAGATATTAGTCAGTACCAGGATTCCGCTTAGCGGGACCCCTTTGTTTGAATGTTCTGGAAAATGAGTACAAACGCAGTAACTCAACTTATTTGCAATCTGAAAATTTTTTTTGTAATGGTTCAAAATGCATGTTCTCCCATGGATTTCCTGGTTTCCCATTGTTTAACTTCATCCACAGGCAACTGAGGAGTATCTCCCCCCTTAGTCCCTTCATTCCTTGTCCAAAAATTTGGGTATCTACACAGATACACTAGCAAAGGTATAAAAACAATTATTAACACACAATACAAAGATACTAGGCTTTATGTACAGTCTAGTTCAATATTTGACTTTTCAGAGTATCAACTACAGCTCACTGAGATGAAGAGAGTTTCGGTTTCAGTGGTCCTGTTTCTTCAGAGATCCACTCCTCCTGTGGAGCTTTCTTCACATGGGTATAATGTACCCACAGATCTATACCTTTCGCCTTTACAGCTTTATACGTAATAAGTAGTACCAGGTAAGGTGCTTTCCACTTTTCCTTCAGAGGCTCATACTTCCAGGTGTGGATATAAACTTCATCTCCAGGTTGAAATTCATGCACTGGCAAGTCTAAAGGCCGTTAGTTCAGTATTGATGGAATCAAATCCTTTCTTGCACTCTGGTGTCCGTTCCAAAGTTTCTCTGGGCCCCTTGATAGCTGCATATAATGGTTTGGCAACTGCGTATAATGGTTTGGCAGTCGGGCTGAGATTTGGTATCCAGAGTCTGCACCATGTAACCATTCCCAAGAAACCTCGCAGTTTTTTTCTTAGACTGGGGGGAGCTATTTGACAAATAGCTTCCTTTCTCTCTGCTTCTAGTTTTTTTTTTTCTACCTGAGGTATCTCAAATCCCAAGTAAGCTACAGTGGTCTGTATTATTTGGGTCTTTTTCTGAGATACCTGGTATCCAGCCAGTCTCAGGAAATTCAGCAAATCTATGGTTGCAATTTTACATTCCTGTTCAGTTCCTGCTTCTAAAAGTATGTCATCTACATACTGCAACAAGGTAGTGGAAGGATTCTTATGTTGCCATTCTTCTAATTCTTTGGCAAGTATGTTACCCAAGAAGGTTGGACTGTTTTTAAAACCTTGGGGCAGCAGGTCCAGCAGAGTTCTACTTTCCTGCTGCTGGTGGGACTTTCCCATTCGAAGGCTAAGATCTTCTGGCCTTGTTCTTCCAAGGGGATGCAGAATTAGGCATCTTTCAAATATAGCGCAGTAAAATACGTACTGTCCTCAGGTATAGCAGACAAGGTGTAGGGATTAGGTACCACTGGGTGTACGTCTACTGTAATCTTACTGATTTCCCTCAAGTCCTGTACCAACCGATACTCTTGAGTTCAGGGTTTCTTGACTGGTTGGACTGGAGTGTTATATTCTGATTGGCATTCTTGTAACAAACTATTGTATAAAACCATTAATCAATGATTCCAAACCTATTTTAGCTTCCAGTTTTATAGGATATTGTTTTCTTCTTACCGGATGAGTTCCCACTTTTAACTCAACCTTTACCAGGGTTGCATTCTTGGCTCATCCAGGTTTCTTGGAGGCCTGTACCAGAGGTACCATGGCATTCAAGATTTCTTCTGGGATCCTGGTCTCCTCCTTCTTTTCAGACAATAGACACAACAGAGCTCTCCATGCTGTCTCCTCAGGCACATGTCACTGAATAGACTTGTCAGAGAATGTTAATTGTGCTTTCAGTTTACACAACAGATCATGTCCCAGCAATGGGAGAGGGCATTCTGGCATATATAGGAATTCATGAGTCAATGTAGTATTTCTAACTGTACATTTTATAAGTTTTAAAAATGGCCTGAGAGCTCGCTTGCCCGTGATCCCAGCAATTGGCATGCGTATCTTACTTAAAGGCCCCTTAAAATTAGTTATTACTGAATGGGTTGCCCCACTATCTATCAGAAAATCTATAACTTCATTCCACAGCTTTACGGGAACCAGGGGGTTGGCTGGGGAAATGTTGATATTCTCCCTGGTCCCCTTCATTTGGTATCAGATTTCCGTAGCATAATCAGGTTAGCATCTGATTACGGCTCCCCTTTTCCTGATGATTCAGCAAATAATTTTGCTCTCTGTGGGCATTCATTTTTTCAGTGCCCTTCTTTTCTGCAATAAGCACACTGATGAGGACCCCAAGGGCTACAGTTTGAGGTGTTAACTCCCTGTCCTTGTCCTACACCGTTCCATTCACCCTCTGCCTCTACTTTGGCCCCTTTGTCTATCTCTGTTGGGGCTCCCAGCAATTGCCATCACCAGCAGTGAGGCTTGTATTTTTACTCCTCTTTGCTTCTCTCTAAGTCTAACCTTCTTCCCTTTCTCGTCTCTGTTACTGTAAACCTGGTAAGCTATTTCTATTAACTGTGATACAGACATTCTTCCTGCTCCATCTACCCATTGCAACTTGTTCCTAATATCAGAGGCTGACTGTCCTATAAACAGCACAGTAAGCATTTTTCTATTAGCCTCATCCTTTGGATCCAAATCAGTCCACCTGTGGCCAGTCTTACACAGTCTTTCAAAAAAGAAACTGAGGGGTTTTTCTCAGACTCCTGTCTTCATGCAATTCTGATATACTTTTAGACTTTGGAACCCCATGTTGAACGCCATGTAAAATTAATTGTTGATATTGTTTTAACATTGTTTTCCTGATTCCTCTATTTGGGTCCCAGTCAGGCTCTGTCTTTGGCATGTGTTCATCTGTACTTCTATTTGCATTTCTTTTCACATGCTTTGTAACAATTATTTTTCTTTCCTTTCTTATTAACACTTTCTGCTAATACATACATTTCATCAGCATCACCCATCAACAATCTACATTTTTTATGAGTTTCATGACTGCACCTTAAAATGAAAAACAACATACACAACTTCATCCCATTTAGCCATCCTTCTACAAAACAGCATTAACTGCAAAATAGTGTTAAAAT